ACACCTACTAACTACTGGTTCAATACCAAACTATTTACCACTACACCATTGACGCTTATGAATTCCTACTATTATACATTTTTTTGTTCTGACTTTCGAAGAAAGTTAGAATTATATATTCTCGGGGTGTTTTTTATTGAGACCAATTTTACAATACTCTGGTCTCTCTTGATCTGCAGGGACCCAGCCGGGTGTGCACACCACCATAGTATCCTACCATGAGTCTGACTAAACAGCTTGTTTTATAATTTACACGCGTGGCGAATTATCCCGCTCTACAAAATCGTTCCAAAGTGAATTGAGGCAGCACATTAGTTTTATTAACTCTAATTGTAATCAAATTGTAAAACTTAAATTTTAAGATGCTCAGCCTAAAATTCATAGTTTTACCAATACTTAATTTACTTAAAACTATTAGAAATCATTTGAATGGCAGTCCGAACAATCAGGAATGAGCCCTGATACGAGCAGTCTTGTTCTTATAAATGCCAGACAGCAATGAAATCGCTGGTAAATCAGAAAAATAAATAAATCCCATTTTCGAAATAAGAAGTCAATCACGTTTTTCGTGACCTGTACACTTTTGCTGTTCGATAAAGGAGTTTGCCCTCCTTTCAACAAAGGAAATGAACTGAACTTATAAAGTCAAACCGCAGAAAACGAAACTTTAGCGTGAACTTTTTCTTTAAAAAAAAACGGAGTACTCACTACGTTCATTAATCTGAAAAATTTCCTAGTCTGGTTAGACACGAAACGACGGTTAAAAAACAAAACTTGTTGCTTCAGTTTAAAGTTGTCAGAATAAGGAGAATCCTGTTTTCTTTTGAACTGTTACTTCTTTTATGCAAATGATCTGGTCCCCTCTCTTCGTCTCATTTCCATTTCACTACTTGGGCAGACCAGATCCACCAGCAGCACTCGGGTATTATGCTTGTCACTTTTATTTATAAACTAATAAAATTACATCCAGCTCTAGTTCAAAACCAAAGGAATTTTAATCACATTTGCATAGTTGATTGCCTAGCTTAATTTCCTTCTCAACTTCACTCATACCCCAGAGCACAATACAACACTGCAGTTATGTATAAATTTCCATAAATAAAAATAACTGCTACTCTACCTTTCAGATTATTTGCCACTGATTATTGGCCAAAATCTAAGTTCAAACTACCGCACCGTGGCCATTAAAGGTGACCATTCATGTGATAGTTTATTGAACGTGAATAGATGGCCAAAAGAAATGGATCACCAAAGTTACTCACTAAGAAAGTACTTTAGTGCATTACTTTTGTGCTCCATTCTTTTGGGACATCTCTTTACTAGTTCTCAAAAAAACTGAAGTTTGATCTTCTCAGAATGACCAGCTAATAATACACCCTCATTAAGCAATACTTTAGTTGAAATAGTTACCGAAAACGATTCCTAACAAGTGGTTAAAAAAACCTCAGTAAAATTTGTTGTAGTAAAACTCATTGTTTCAGGCCCTGAAAATAGCAATGCAAGAGCAGATACAAAACGAAAACTTTCCTCGTATACTAAACTCAATACCGCTTCAAGCAATAACGCATCTGCAGCCGAAAGTCAAAGATGTACCAGCTGCCCATGCGATACTTCGACCAAGTTCGTCAAGGTTCGCCTACGCTCGACTCTCACTAAAAGGGGTCTACGAGTAAAGTCTACAGGCTATAAGGTGACAATTTTCACTTTTTAGTGCCCTAAAAACAATCAGAGAAACCTTACTTCTTAATCTAGTTGAACGTCGAATGATATCACTTGAATCAAAAGGCAGGACACTATTTGATTTTGCAATTGCTTCTGGTCTTTGAGAGATCAATCATTCTTTATTCCATACTTAAAAAAGTATTAGAATCCTAAAGGCCTTACAAACAAGATGCCATGACGCCTTCAATAAGCACTTGATAAATTTTCAGCTGCTGTCGTTGCAAGCACAGCCAAGGTGCAAATGTGAGGAACAAGAGAAGCAACTTCAACGAACTGGATCCAGTGCTGCCTCGGGTAAACAGCCATTAAAACCCTTGACGGAACCTCCTTCATTATCAGAGAACAACTCAGCCAAGAAATTGCGCTTAGAGCTCGTCAAATCCAAAGTTCCGAGTAATGGCGACATCTCAAACGTACTAAAAAATCATAGAGACTGCAAAAACTATATAGCCAGTGATAGCAATTCCAACAGTGACAGGGATGAAGCTGAAGCTGATGATTCACTTCACAAGAAAAGCAAGTCACAAAAAGAGGAAAAAGAAAAGAAACGGAAGGAAAGATTTGGGTTGGTTGTGATGGCAACTACATTGCCATCTACAGTCAGTTGTGAGATATCGATTGAGCCGTACATGTTTGTGATGCGACTACAAGCTGATTTCACAATTAATTTCTGCGAACTAAGGTATGAACAACTTTGAAAGCCTCATTTCATCAAAACCTTTGACCAATTCTTTTTTTAAAATGAGCGTCATCATAACACTCAGCGCTAAATTTCACTCATCATAACACTCAGAAAAATGGCAAAAATAATAGTTCATGCGTAGAACATTTTCAGTTCAATGTTGCTTAGCGAAGGTTTGGGGGACTCTTTGAAGGAAGCGACTACCCATTTAAATTCAGAGACCCTTTCTGCATTCGCAATTCTTTTAAATATCAATGTTGACCGAGTAATAACAACTTCTATTTAAAAAAATAAGCAAAATTTAAATTTCAAGAAAACTATCGTGTAAAACACCTTGCGGTGCTTCGAATTTTTGACAAATCATAAAAACCGCATATAATGGAAATAAGATCTGATCTATGAGTGTACTCTGACAGCACCCAATTATAGGGTTGATAATTTTTTTTTCTACTTAAATTATGAAAAACCATAAAACTCTGTGAAGCTCTTTGAAAATTTGACTTAAAATTAAATGACTTAAAAAACGTCACATCTCGGAAATTGAAACCAAATGAGCAGTCGCATTTGAACGCAAGATTTTCAAATCCGGAGAAAACTCTATCAGAACCCAAGTACAGCGTTGGTAAATACAAAATTTTTCGAAAAACTAGAGAAAACGTCATCTAAAAAACAAAAGATTTGAGCAGTCATTTTTGGATGCAAGATCCGTTGCCCCTCAGAGTACGAAAAAACAGCGTTAGGAACTTCGAAGTTTGAGAAACTTCAAGTTACAATTTTCTAAAAAAACCGAAAAACCAATAAAAAACGTCATATCTGGAAACCTACAGAGATTTGAGCAGTAAGACGAAATTCGCAACCTTTGAGAGTACTCTGACATCTCCCAACTACTACTAATTTTCTGAAAATTAAAAATATAAAAAATCTCGAAAACTACGAAGATTGGAGCAGTCATAGTTGTAGGCCAAATTCGCAACCCTTGCGAGAACCTTGGCAGCATACCACTATTGGGTTGCTAATTTTAAACTTGGTGAAATCTATCTATCATATATTTTAATGCGGGCTTCACTATCTCGCCATGTTTAAGCTTTTTCAACGTAATATTTTTGCATGTTTAACGAAAGAATTTTTTTGCGCGTATAAGCTATATCGTATAATGAAATAGTTACGAAATTTCTTGAATATCTAGTTCAAACTCAAAATTTGTTTCACCAAGTTCGAAAGACAGAGGCGAAGCTTCGCATAGTAAACACTTGCGATAACACGACAAAAAGCAGCTCTAGAAATAAGCCTCGAATTAGTTTTAAAAAAATTTGGCTACCTCTGAGATTCAAACCTGTGAGCTAGAAATTAAAATACACACTATCCACGGAAAGTTTATATATACCAAACACTAGCGACAAATAAAGACGAGAACAGATGCTATACAATTTCCAATGTTACATGGAAATTTAAAGTACACTTTTAATGAACTTTCATTTGCAAAAAAAAGAAGGTCAATAATAACACACTAAGCTGATCGCAAGTGTAATCAGAAGCCCAATAGTAGTATGCTGCCAAATTTTCCGCGGGGTTGCGAATTGGGCCTCCAACTATGACTTTTCCAATCCTCGTAGTTTTCGAGATTTTTCATGATTTTTTTAACGATCAGAAAATTTAGATTTGAAAGAATCATAAAAAAGTTCGAAACCTACAAGGATTTGAGCTGCCATATTTTAAGGCAAGAGTTGCAATTCCTGAAAGTACCCTGACAGCACCCAACTGCAAATTTTTGAAAAAATCAAAAGAAAATCGTCGTATCTCGTAAACTAAAAGGATCTGGGTGTTCAAAATTGGAGGCCAAATTTGCAACCCCAGGAGGAACCCTGACAGCATCCCACTATTGGGTGGCTAATTTCAAATCTGATAAAAAATCCTTGAAATAAAACTAGCAATTCAAAAAAACGCTTAACCATTGCATTTTACGATATAACTTAAGCGTGCAAAAAAATTCTTTCGTTTGAACTTGGAAAAATAATACGTTGAATTAGCTTAAACATGGCGAAATAGTGACTCCCTCATCGCTCGCTTGTGCAGACAAAAAATCCCTCAGATGAGAAACATTTTGCTTCCATGATTTTATCATTAAAATAGTAAAAACTTCTTTGCCTCGTGATGACCGTTTTCACGAATTGTGACTACCTTTCTGACATCAGTTTTCCCCTGACCTTCGCTATCAGTAATAACAATCTGATTTTGTTTCTCTGAATAATGGGTTAGTTCTTTAACTTCTTCATTTGGCAGCTTCTATTCAATTGAACCGATATTAATTCAAAAATATTTTTCAACCTAGGCATGTTTGCTTTTATTGTTAGTCCAGTTACGGGCATGGAAGATACTTCTTTTTACTGCCATGTTAAATATATTATTCAATGATACAATCACGAGATGTCATCATCAATGCTGCCATTTTATGATTGAGTGTCAAAAGCAAAATAAAAGCATTTAACAATATTTACATTTACCCCAACACAATCGCAAAAAGAATATTACAAGATTTATCTCAGAGGCACTCTTGATAAGGTTATTTATATTAGAAACAGCAGCAGTTTTACAGTCAAAAGCATCATATTGGTTGCCTTTACAATTACTAGAGCTCAATAGCATACGTAAAACTGTGAAAAAAAACTAACTCGTTAATGAACTTGCCGAAATATACATTTTAAAAACCTTTGACTCTCGCTTTCAAGAGAAAAAAACAACCAATTTAAGTTTCTCGATTAATGTGTTTTCTTTTCACAATTGTCTGTAAATTTTTCATCAAGCTACTAGAGCACTTTTAAAGTCTATCAATTAGAAAGCACAGAAACAATTAAAAGCCAAAACGTTATTCAACAAGCCAAAACGTTATTCAACAAGCTCCGCCTAACCACATTGAATTCTATTTGAAAAATTCGATGGTCAATTACTGAACAAAAATGCCTCGCACGAAAAAAGCAGTAGCCAGCAAAAACACTTGCGAGCTAGCCCCGAAAGAACAAAGAAACTCGATTGGAGCAGCAGCAATGTCAGATATCCATGCAATGGCAGCGAACAGCAAAACGAAACAGTGCAAAATATGCAAGTTAGTAGCTTTCCAAATTTTTAGTCTTGTTTACAATTGTTCACCACCCACCATGACGGATTGCTTCTTCAATCTAACATTCATTAATTCTGAACCTAATAGCCAATTACAATAGGGGTGAAGATATCTTTTTCTCAAAGCACGGAATTTTGTTTCCCAGAAAACTGAAAAGAAAATCAACGAATAGCTAAGGAGCGGCCGATCAACGAATAGCTAAAGAGCAAAAAATACACTTATTCGTCGATTCGAAGTATTCAACATTTTTCAGCGCTTATTGTGCTGGCACCAGCATAGTGGACATAGGCAATGGTGAAGTGTGCCATTCCACCTGTTACGTATGTGTGGAATGTAAAAGCAGTTTGGCCAATCAGAAGTGCTACAAGGATCCCAGTGACATCAACTACAGGTAAGGCCGCTTTTAGCTATAAAATTTTGGTGAAAAAGCATAGGTTCAATAAGAAAAATCATTATTTTTAGTTAATTAGAGCATAGATGAAGCATACTTAAAATTAACAAAAATCAACGAAAAAACTAGCATTGGCCTGTAAAAGCAGCACAATAAGCTTTTGGAAATCAAAATGAAAAATCTCTCAAAACAGTTAAGCCAACAAACGGCTTCGAAAGAAGCGAAAACGTATTAACTTCTTGAACTTTTCAGGACCTCATTTATTTCCTGGTTTTCATAAAACCCAATCTGTTGAAGGTACTGCATGGGATGCTACAACACTGGAAGCTCCTCCCTCTGTTTCGAATGTGGGTGCAAACTTGTCGGAGACTTCGTCACAATCCCCGACAGAGGCAACTACCACGGCAAGTGTCTCAACTGTGGTCTCTGCCAGCGAAATCTCGAGGACCAGCCGATGGCATTCGACAAGATCAAAAAAATCTTCAAGTGCAGTCCCCCATGTCAATTACCTGAACTTCCTTCACTCTATTAACAAAACTATCTAATATTTTGTAGAATAAAACAATATTTCCGACCTCGATTTTTTTGGCAAGCACAGAAAAACAAGGCACTGGCAATTTTTTTTGCCTTGAAATACAAACTTTGATTTGTTTAGAGCTCGACATTTTTGCCCAGTATCACCAGAAATGATGACTGGGAAGTCTTTGTATGATTTCATTCATCCTTTGGATATTGACGCAGTTTTGTGTTCACATAAACAACGTAAGTCAATCTTGATTCTATTTTTAGGAAACTTTTCCTCTCCTCCCTCGCCCTCATGTCTAAATCATACACATTAAAATACCCATTAAAATTTTGGCGCTATTAATACTTTGTATAGTTAGGATTAGTTCTCGATTTTCAAAAATTTGGCTTTGTTCCCTGCTCACTAATCCATTCTCTTTTTTGTCTAAGTGAGTCTAAAATAAGTGTCTAACAAATCCATTCTCTTTTTCTTCAGTTCTCAACAAGCATCAAAGTGAGGTCTCTCTTCTCTACCGCCTGGTCTTCACTAACCATTCTTCTGCAAACAACATTAACAACACCACTAGTACCACTTGGGTCCATTCTCAATTCTCTCTCTTGACAGTTTCTGCTCTATCTTCGCCCACGTCTAACTCCTCTAACAACCCATCTTCAATGCACGCAAATGTTTCTTCACATCTCAACAATACGCACTACAAAAGTAACAATGAAGACACCAATCACAAAACAACCAGCGTAAAATTCGTTGCCTCGACGGCTAAAAACTCAACAGCACAGCCCAATAATATAATTTTAGCCTTGCATTATGTAATTGCAAATAGAGAAACAAACTCGTGAATTGCCTACTCATATAGAAAAATCTTTCAAATAGGTGACGTTTAATATTTTAATTTGATAAATGTGCAATTGACAAACTGCTTTTTAGACAGAGGCGAAGTTGCACTTCACATACACAAGCAAAAATATGACCGATAACGCTACTGTGAAAAACTGAATGCGTAAAACTTTGAGTCGACAAAATTGCTAAGTGACGCAAGCCAATTATGACGCATTAGCAGTACCAGTCATTTTGAAAAAAAAACCAAATAACATGCCTCAATTTATAGAGTAGACGCATTTTAACTAGTATACGAAAAAACATCCGACCCTGCCCAGGTTCGAAACCTCTTTATTTAGTTGCTGGTCTCCTTTCCTACCTCTACGCTACAGGTCCATGATACCTTGAAGCTAAAGTGCTATTTGTAATATAATAGTCTGTGTTATTATCCTTAGCATTGGCTGTACTAAAAAGTGTCCATTCAAAATTTTGCCGCAACAATCGCATCGCACAATATTTGCGACTTAGGTTGGAAAAAAAGAAAGTTCATACTATAATACAGGCTATGTTTTTGTAAAGAAACATAAAAATGCAGTATAATGTAATAAAAACATTATTTACAAAAACGGGGCAACAAAGTTTAAACTTAAAATCGGCAAACAAAACACCAGACTATAGTCAACTTTCAACAAAACCCGTGAAAAACGAACATAAACAAATCGCGCTTAAGCTTCATTCGGCCTTTGTAGTATAACTTACGGGGATCAGTGTCTTCCGCTAATCCAGGTTTTTTTTAAGTAGAAATCAAACGGATAGACTTTTTTCCTTTTTCTATCAGTTTTTGGCGAGTTTAGAACGCTGTTATTGCTTCCGTTTTTATAAAAGCTTTTGCATAAATTTGAAGATATCGATGATCTGAATTAAAAATTGACAAAGAGGTTACGTTGAAATTTGCCAAAGCAAATTAAATAGGCCTTATCGTATGAAGCCGTAGCTCTGAATGTTCCGAATTGCAATTTATCATCGATGAATTTTTTTTTGGCAACTTAAGTGATAATCTGTTTGGAAAACTATGTATAAAACCTTGCAGGCAAAACATTGCGAGTAAAGGTCATTTGCGTTTGATTTAAAAACGTCAATACCTTATAGTCGGTGGAAAAAAACTATGTCAAAATTTGGTACTTAAAAAGTCTGAGTAAAAACCAACCCAAGCACCAATATTCCGTCACTTTTCGGAAGCCGAAACAAAAATACTCGAAACTCTGAAAATTATTTTCCTTTGCGTTGAAGTGGGTCCAATGTATTAAAAACTGGGTAAGAACGCAGCTACAAAATATAAAAAAATTGGTTTATCTTTATTTTATCTCACCACACACTAAGTACAACATGAAATACTTTGTCTGGAAACGTACAATTAAGATTAAATTGCGTCAAAATGGAACGATTTATTTTCCCGCTTATGCTTTAAACAGACAAAATATATCTCGCGAATCCCCAATTCTAGGCCCTAAACTTTACAAAAATGGTCACAGAAAGAAAAATATCGTTTGCTCTTGGAGCTCATGTCCTTCAGAGAGTTTAAAACATTGTAAAAAATGGCCAGTTAAAAAGTCGAAATATGACTGGAGAAAAAACAAAACGAGCACAAATATGTAAACTCTTTTTGATAAAGAGGCAAAGCTGCGCTTTGCAAACACTACCGAAACACGACAAAAAGCATCTCTATCAAGTGAAGTTTTTTTATTTTTATGTTGTTTGAAAAAAAATAGGTTTTTTTTTCGGTTCAGTTGATGAAACAAAAAGGCATCAACTGTGTTAACTTATTAATAATCGAAAGTCAAAGCACATGATATCAAAAAGCTGTAATGGTGCTCGAAAACCACACACACATCCCGACGAAGGTTTTTTTACTTAAAAGAAGCCTTGACACATAAATTTCCATATGATTATCGAGCTTCAGTCTGCGGTGCCAATTTCGTAGATTTAATCAGCAGACATTGACGTTTTTAAGATACTTTACTAGTAAATACAAGACAGTACTGAATGCCCTTCAATAGAATACAACGTATCAAATCACCATGCAGATTGGTAACTATACATTTGGCTTTGGAATCCTGAGTGGTTTTTATTACGTAGATTTTATCAAGAAAAGCTGAACTACAGTATTCATGACAAACTTTCAATCCGTTTCTCGGTATAACAATATGAAAAATGGAAATCGTAAGATCAGTTTTTCTCGACAGTAGAAAATTTGAAATCAAAATCACTTCCTTGAGGCACTTGAAATCGCACAGGGAAAAAAAACTACACGCACATAAAGACGCAGCTGCGCTTCGCAAATACTTTCGATAACACGACAAAAAAGCAGCTTTATAAAAAGAAATAAGAAAAGATAGAAATAAGTATCGAATTAGTAAAACTTCGCTATGTATAGGCTTCGAACCTGTAACTTCGAGAACTGAAGTCTCACACCCTGCCCTCTCGGCCACGAAAGCTTAGCAACTGGCAAACACTAGTCACAAATGAAACAGCTACATATACTAACAAATTACAAATGCCATGCAGCAAAAGTGGCACCAAATACAAGTAGACACAATTTTGCAAGTAATAATTTGAAATATAACAAACTGAAGGCATCCACGCTAATTTTGCATGTAATAAACTAGAAATCACATTATGTATAAGATATGCATTTCAAAAAATTGCGAGATATAATGAGTAAGAAAATTTCTGAAATCGAGTTTTTATTATTCTTGTTTGAAAAAAAAGCTTTTTTTGGTTCATTTGATGAGTTTAAAATGTATCAACTGGGTTAATTTATTACAATTCAAATGTCAAAACATATGCCATTAAAAAGCCGCAATGATGCCGCAAAAGTTCAAAAAAAAGAATCATGTTAACATAACACTAACGCTCACTTAAGTTCGCTTGTGTAAATAATCGATTCGTTAAGGAGTTAATGAACACTATTTTGTACTTTTGTTCGTGTACACTAATCCATGTCGTTCAGAATGACGCATAATGGTACCCGTAACTTCAACCCATTCCATATCCCACTTCATACTGGAAGCATGATGATGATTAAGAAAACATTGAAAGAGGAATGTTCAATTCAATTGAGTCAGTATGTTAATTATACCGCCTCAGTAGCCAAAAGTAGTCTAAATTGCATCAATTGTGTATTGCACCAAAATATGCCTTCAAGGCATTTGTTATCATCTTATCAAACTCAGTCTGCGCTGTCCGAATTTCACGTTTAACAGTATCATCGTATCAATGTCAGTTTTCAACTAGATAGCAAAAATGAAAAAGCGTGCCAAATTAAGTCAAAGTCAAGTAGGCTCGCTCAAAATTTAGTCAACAAGTAGTATCAACGAGTAAGATAGTCGACGTAAAAATAGTCAAAAGCGAATCGCAACTGAATTGCAACTCTTAGCATCTACAAATTTGCTGTCATTCACAACCTGCTGTATTTGGAAAGAATTGTCGTGAATATATGGCAGCTTTATTTTTGCATTCATCCTATATTTACTCCTTGACCTCTTTACATGTCAAGGGAGATAAGATAGTCCACTATCTTCGCCACGGCATAGTTGGTCTTTCCTTGTTGTTTGCCCTCTGGCATATGGGCTATCACAATTGCCGTTTTACTTCTCTGGACCACCAGAGCTCCTTCGTCCTTCTGCTTAGCCAACAGGAGGTCTTCTTCATTGCGCAGGAATTTGTAGGTCTACGAGCGAGAAACAACGTATTATCAAGCATTGTCCCCAAAAATGGAAAAATAAAATCTTGTTCTGAAATCTTGTTCCGTAAATTTTAAGCTGAAACTCGAATAAACGTTCTTTATCAAAAAACTTAGTGTAGTTCTTTTCAGAAAACTCAATATTCTTTTCAATTTTATTTCAGATATAAACCATTATGGTAACATAAGCCTGATCACGACTGTATTTGTACCTGTCCCTCGCACTTGACCCCGTTGGTCTGGAAGTCGGAGAAGTCCTTAGTCTCGAATGCGCGCACTATTGCATCGACCTCGTCGGGCAGGATCTTAAGTGCATTCTGGTGCTCATCAGAGGTCCACTTTCCCCCCTCTCTGCCCAGGATACAGACCTTGTCAATGTGGTACACGTTCTGTTCGTCAAGAGCTGCAAACACTACTTACTGAAGCCAATTCAATTCTAAAAGCCGGCAAGTTTGTTACACTTCAAGTGTAAACAATACGGGAAGATGCGCACTCAACTGCCAAAATATTATATATCAGAAATCAGTAAATGATGAAACATTTTTTTTATCTCTATATCCAGGGCGAAATTCTGGGTAAGCACATTCAACCCATATCCACCCAAAACGTCCCCTGGAACTCTTTTAAAGTATGGTATCGTTCAAAACCTCATTTAGAAATATGGTCCCGAAAAAACTACCAAGTACTTCAAGGACCATACTTCTAAATGAGCGTTTGAATGGGACTCATCAAAAAGACGGGACTATACTTCTAAAAGAGTACCAGGGGACGTGTTGGGTGGATATGGGTTGAATCTGCTTAGCCATTATTTCGCAAACCTCGAATCACAAAGCTCAAAACTTTTTTTTTCCTAACTTCAAGTTTTGGTTACAATATATTTGGCGCAGAAAAACGCTATCTTTTAGGTCAAAACCTTTCAAGAAGGGGCCTATATTTTTGCCAAAAACTAAGTCTTTATAATGTTTATTTAGATAGAATTCTGAAATTCAACTTGCTCGACCTAAAAAAATAAGGGAAATAAATTGCTATTATTTTAAGTCAATGTTTATTCTACGTCAATTTGATTTTATGTAACCGTAACTATGCACACTCACAGTTTTGGAGCAGTACGTCAATGTAAGAGTCCCAAGACATTGTTGCAGCAGAGTCAGAACAGCTTTAGTCGTAACAGCGTACTTAGGTGGAAACAGAATAACAGTTCAACTATCAACACAACATACAATCAGGAGTTGCCTTCAAAGCCACCCCAATCTGAAAAACACATTGCATGATCATCTAACTACCCAACAATGATGGGTACAAAAATTATAATTAACAAACATCCTCACATCTCAGCAAATTTCACAGGTTAATTTTCGAAAAAAATAGTTTTCCAAGAAACTATCAAAAATAGAACATCTTTTGTTGCCATGAATTCTTAAACGAAGTCCAAAAAATGGGTCAAACTATCAAATAGTGGACAAGTCTTAAGCTCAAATAGAATTTCTCACTAAAATTGGAAAAATCCAGTTATGCAGGATATACACCAACAAATTGAACTTCCATAGAAACCTTAATCTGTTTGTCAACGTAGTTTTACAGAAAAGGCTAAAAACAAGGAATTTTTCAAAATCCAACACTTCTTTTCTTAAAAAAATTTGAGCCTTAGACACTAAAAACAGAAAATTTCTAGCAATTATTTATTTAGTTGAACCCTTTATCTCAGATTTGGCAGGGTAGTGTTTGAGAAAAGTTTCCAAAAATGGTTAAATTTTTGAAACTGGACTGTTTCTATGACCATTCTTTTTCCTATAAACTTAGGAAGGGCGCGGCCGCTGCGAGTTATAAGCGATGTGGTTAACTCATAGAGTAATTTCGGATAGGGTACACCGTCTGCTCGTCACGCTATCTTATTTTCGGCCGGATAGATTCGTGCAACTTCTTAGTCTAATACCGATCCTAATCTTACTTTTATACTATCTAGTCTCAGGTTGTTTAACTAGTCTCTGCTAGGCTCAATAGATCTAGGGTATACTGGTTTATTGCGGCTGCTGAAGTTCTCTTGGAGAGGCGACTAATTTCTAAGTTAAATTCAAATCTCTCTGGTGCTGAAATTACAAGTAATTTCAGCACTTACAAATAAGTGGGTTGTTAGTTATATGGATCATGATTGGTTAATATTAAATACTTTACAGTGGTAAAATATCTAATTTATCCAATCATAAAATATAGTTTAGATCAGGTTCCACCCATCCGGGTTTTACAGAGTTTTTTAGAATTATCTTTCTGCAATTCAAAGGATGGATGATGGACGTTGGTATTTGGCGAACATCGTACTTTTGTCCGGTTTCTCTTTGTTAGAGAAGTTCCAGGACGCTGGAGTGAGGGGCATCAATTGTTGTGTCTTCTTGTGACAACGATGGTGTTTCCCAATGAAATCAATCTGATTTCAGAATGGTTTGCTATGACGGGTTTTTCTGTTTTATGTAGAGAACTTCTTTTGTGTTCGACCTCGTCTGGGAATGGCGTGGAGATTGTGCGTGGAGGGGATGCCTTGTAACTCGGATCTGTACGTATACTTGAACATCGAGGTGGTCATTGGTCTAGTTCAATGAAGTCCTTTTCTGCGAAGTCAAGTCGTACTCTAAATCCTTTGAGTTTGTGATTGTGGACGGCATATCGGTTTGTGGTTGGCCATTCTTGTTTAAGTGTAGTGGGGTCATTTTGTCTTTGGATATTCGTCTTTGTTGTTGTGTGCTGATCTATATACTGCAAAGTATAGTTTACATTTTATAAAATTTTTATTAGTTCAGTGTTTTAATTATGATTTTGGTTAGTTGTTTTCACAAAAGCATTTTGTTTTAGTTCGGTTATTTTGAAGAGTTACTCACCCTTGAGTACCTCTTATTAAAAATAGAAGTGTGGTCACAAAGCGTGGATGTAGCGCGGTGGGTTAGGCCGGCTATAGAGCATGCTCAGGACGTCCTCTCTGGTGGGTTAGGCCAGGAGTGGGAGTATGATTTCGTGCGGTTTCTGTGAGAGGTCCTGTTATGTGATAACGTTTTGTGTTGGGTTTATGGTGGTTTTCTTATGTTTCGTTGGTTGTGTCCTTTTTTCAAAAATCAAATTGTTTTTGGTATGGGTTTGTCTTTCGACTTTTTTGTGTTTTATTATTTCTTTCTTAGACTTTATAATAGTCTTCAAAAGAATAAATTATCCAGTTTTGAACTGGGTTAATCCGGTTTGGGTACCGTTGGTTTTCTTTTCTTAGTCATGCTGTTATTCTATGATTTGTGGTGTTTAGTAAGCTGCGTTGGTTAGTTTTGTTTAGTATATAATTCCTTTCCAACCGGGTTAAAGGAAAGTTTGAAACTTGTTATCGCGTGTGAGAGTTGTTGAGTGTGAAAGCTTGAAACTGAAATTCATTATTTAAACAATTCTTCGTGGGCGAGCTGTGCGAGTTTGGATAGAATTCTTGTGCGAGTGAATGAAAATATCAAAAGGTTAGTACTGCATTTTCGTTTTATCAATTTACTACATAGAATTTTAATTTTACTGCTAGTTTTGGGAAAAAAATAAATTACAAATTTTCATTTTTTATGAAATTACTGCTTTTGGGGAAACAATTTATTAATCAATTTACTACATTTGGTATAAATTTTATCAGTTTATCTTGTGGAAAATATTAGTGAAATGAAGAATTTTAACAAGTTTTTTTTTTATTTTGCTTTTTTGTTTCTTCAGATGATTCTGGTATGAAGGCTAAAGATCTAAATGAAACATGAGTAAAGAATGGTTAGTATTTATTTTAAATTTATTAGTGAAGAATATGTATAAATTATACTTACCTGTTAGTCGTCGGGGAAAAAACCGTGGGGGAAGATGTCGTGTATTATGTCGGAGTTTGTTAGTAATTTTGCTAGTATGCGAATGATGTTTTTAGTTTGAAGCAGTGTCCAAAGCAATTGAAGTGCTTTAATAGTTTTTAGTTCTTCAGTGCCAACTGCAAACTCATAAGGTGTGTTTTGAATGAGGTTATATAATTTGTGATTGTATTTAGTGCTGTGGATGAATTCTAATATTGGGATTTCTATAGGTTGGATAAATTCATGTGGGATAAGGAAGGGTCTGGATTCTTCTGCATTAAGGGTCTTCGTGATGGGACAAAATATATACATCTGTGTTATTGGGTCATAATTGCGGAGGATGCCGTGAAGGTTAGTATCTTTGATGCAATATGTGAAATTTAGAAAAAATGGCGAAGTGTATTTAGAGTTAAGAAACTGAAAACGGTGGTGTGGTTGTCTTGATGGAGTGTGTAGATCAAAATGATTTTGTATGAAGCGATAATATGTATATGTGTGGGTTTGTTTAGTGCGTAACATAATGTCGTGTGAGCAGTGCAAATCGCGTTCATGTGGTGCAAGGAAGTGGAAGGTTAGTGTAAATAATTGAAATTTTTCTTTAAAACTTTCGTAAGCTTGCATGTCGGTTAGTGCTTCAGAAATGATGTGATCAAATTTTCGATCAAATATATTGAGTGTAAATACATATGGTGTTTTGATGAAAAATTTTTCTGTTAGTTGTGGGTTAGCGAAGCGATCATCATCTAAAAATTGGTCTTGGTTAGTTCGGATGATGTTATGATCGTAATATTCTGGCGTAAATTCGTTAGCTCGGGCTGCAGTGAATGTTTTTAGTGATTTTTTATATCCTATATAAGTAAATTGTCTATGTGTTAGTGGTGTGGTGAGTCGATATAGCATATCTTGATTTCTTTCTATATCGTTATGAGTATTAGATAATGGTAGGCAAAGGGGATTTGTAAAATGATAATATGATGTCCAATGAAGTGTAGGCATTAAAACATGTTCATCTACAAAACTACGTGTGTCGTTAGTGTCATGAGGGGTGTTTAAAGTATATTGTGGAAATGAAGGTAAGGTGATTGCTAGAAAATCTTTCGTGTTAGTGTGATGTGGATGATTAATATATTCACGGGCTGTTCCTGGTTTGGTTGGGAATGGATGGTTTGGGAATTTTCTTTTAAAAGTGCGATAAGCTCTATTAGTGCTATTTGATGATTCGGTGGATGTGGATGATTGTGCTAATGATGCAGAATAAGCTGAAGAGGGTGTAGGGGTAGGTGGGTTTGAGGATTCTATTGTGGAAGAAATCTGATTTATAGTGGGGGTGCTAGGGTGTAATAGTTGTTGTTGTAGGGTGATAAAATTATCGAGTTCTTGGGAGATTTGGGGAATATCTGGGGAATTGGATGATCGGTCTGAATGAAATGAAGAGTAGGTTGGGGTTGATGGTGAAGCATAAGAGGGTGTAGAAATGGATGGGAGTGGATTATTTGGTGGGATTGGTTGAAAAGGGGGTTTTGAAAAAACTGAGGAGTTGGTTTGAAAATTATTGGATGGAGATGGTTCGGAGTCTGCAAATTCATCAGGGGTTTCAATATTAGGGTTATTGAGTTGTGAAATGGAGTATAAAACTGAAATATTTGAATTAGTGTCTGAATTCATGCCTGATGTTATATTACTAGTGGGGAAATCGGGTGGCGGGAAAGCAAAAAGTGGAATTATTGTAATTGGAGTGTTGAGGTTGGTTGGATGGGAATTTGAGCGGTGTAGGGATCCAAGTTGTCGGCTCATCGTGGGCTAAAAAAGTTATTATTTTGAGACTGAAAAGCTGTGGTATGGGGTTGTTCGATAATTTGTTCATATGAATTTTCATCTTGTGAATGATGTGTCATTATATGTTGTATGGGACTTTGTGATATGTTTGGTCTAAAATTTGGATTGTGTGTTATTGCTAAATTTCGGAAATTTCGTGGGACTAGGGATAATGGATGGTTATGTGGTAGGGGTGGTAACTGTGGTGCTGTAGGCGTTATCTCTATATTATTATGTTCTTCGTCGTATGTGTTCTGTCTTGTCGCTAGTTTTGTATTGTATTCTTTTATTTGTGCGTCTAAAAGAATTTTGTTTATTGATGATGAGAAAATTCCAAAAAATCCTGCAAATAGTATGCGTGCTACACTTGCTTGTCTATTTACTTGTGTGTGTATAGCGCATGTATTATAGATTCCTTTTAAAAGTGAAAAAAGAAATCCTATAAAGTTAAACATTGCGTATAAAATAGTCAATTTTTCTAAGATGTAATAGGGCCATCCTAGAAAATCAAGAATTTCATTTTTTAGTGTAACAAAGCTAAAAATATTTATAGGTGAGATATCTTGTGGTCGGTATTTTTCACCGTT